CCCAGAATTCCCCAGCCAGCCATGCTGGCTGGGGAATTCTAGGAGTTGAAGTCCACTCATCAAGTTGTCAAGGTTGAGAAACAGTTTTTGACTTTCTTTCAAGAATGCTTTGGATCCTAATTTATTACTGCAAGATAGCAATTCAGCTTGAAGTTTTTGGTAGAAGGTGTTTTTGTTCTTTAGTATTGGCACGTATATCGCAGCAGGTGGGGCCCCGGCCAACCTTGACCCGGCCTGGCTAGTCTTTGAATGGGAGACCACCAGAAAATCCCACCACTGCAGATTAGTTTGCAAAATTGGAAAAGTTTCTGTTGCTCGTGCCGGTGCTGAGAAAACCAAACTTTTATGTCTCTGAAGTCACCATGAGTCAAGCTTGATTTGAGGGCATTGTCAACTTTTCAATAACTTCATTTATTTTTCATTTCCCCCCTCCCCAGCTTCTAAGTCACTCTGGTCAACAGACTTGGAGCCACACAGATCCCCCGTCTACAATTTGGCATTAAGCACAGGTAACTAATCAAATTTAACGACAAAACCCCACTTTGTAAGCAAGCTTATAAAACAGGATGAACTTTCAGTAAGGTCAGTGAATTCATCATCCAGAGGATGGAATAACCAAATCTTCACCAGCTTTCAGGACGGGGTCTGTCTATTCAAATATTGGCTGGAGGACCCCAGCTGGATAGATTTCCTGATTTAAAGAAGCCACGCGAGCTTTGCTGAGAGCCCGGGAAGCTGGGGGCCGTAGAGGGCTTTCAAACAGCAGCTTCAGGTATGATGCCTTGCGGGGGAATCTGGGCGGCCGGTTGCTGGGGCTGAGAGCTTCAGGGGAATTCACTGCAACGTCACCTGCAATTCACTGCCACTGTGGTTGATTTCTGATTTATTCTATTGTGCACTTTCTACTATGGATTTCTTTAGGGGTGCGCACAGGGACACCTTTGTAATGCTTAGCTGATGTGGCGTGGCGTGGCGAGCACTTTGTTACAAACCACCGGGAGTTGCTGAGACGTGAAAGCATGTACGTTCAATAAATAACACACCTAAATGCTTCTCTTGCCTTAACTTTGTTTGCAAATATTCCTCCCATCTGTGCCATAATCCTCAGCTGCTTGCTGTTCAGGTCCCACGTGGGTGGCTAGATGCCTCTCTGAGATGGATGCGCACGGACTACGGCGCCAGGATCTGAAGAGATGCCTCCCCCCCGTGCGCTTACCTTGTTTGACGTGTGATGGGCTATGGCCGCTTCACGCCCTGGCACCAAGGGGCCGCTCGGCTGCAGTGGAGATTCCTTCCTACTTTCCTTCTCTGGAAACAACCACAGCAAAGAGATAACAGGTAGGCTCACTCAAGCCTCCCGACCAAGCGAACGCTAACCTGGAGTAGACTAGGTTTGAAGTTTTGTGACTCAGCGGATCGGGGAAACCGCCACCGCCTTCGCGTTCGGCGTGAGCCTGGTCATCCCCATGAAGACATTAGTGTTGCTGGGTGAACACAGCAACTCCGTCTGGTTAACCTGAGTCTTTAATATCTTGTCGAACCCAGCTAATGCTTGTGTGCCCCAAGGGAGGGGGCTGTCGGAGGCTGATGAAAAGGCAGAGCTTGGCGCAAGTTTAGTCAGAGATGCCAAGATCTGCAAACTTTCTTTGGGTCTCTCCCCTACACCTCAAATGGAGTCTTCTCAACCCCTTTCCAAAACTGCCCCCAAACTGGCACCATGAAGGTGATTAAATGCACAGGGAGCAATTCACAACTAATTAATTCAGTTTCTTTCCCCTTAGATTTCATCAAACCTCATTTCAGTCCCAGCCCTGTCTACTTTTTCCACTGGCCCATCAATCTGTCGGAGGGGCCCTTCTCCCACCACCTCAAAACCGAGCGCAGCCTTGGGTCCAAACCTGGGACACCCCCCCCCCCCCGTTTTAGTTCCAAATTCTGCCTTTGAAGGAAGGCACTGGGGGTCAGTCGCAAATTCTTCCTGGCTGGCAGAAGCTGTTTGGGCGTGGGATGGATTTGGTGGACTTCAGGATCACCTTGGAGCCACCCAGAGGGGCTGAGTCCCCCCTGCTCCTGCCCCAATAGGAGTGAGCAGGGCGCTTCGGCTGGGGGCTGCCTTTCCAAGCCCTACCTGTGTCCGGGGCCGCGTCGGAGCAGACGACCTGGTAGACTTTGTAGGGCTGGGAGACCTCCAGGTGGCTTTTCTCCGGCACCTCCCTGAAGTCGGTGCTCTTGTTCAGGGCGCAGCGCAGGCGCGTCTTCCAGACGGACGGGTCGGCCTTGTCCAGCCCTTCGTGGTACTTGCCTTTGTAGATGGCCCAGGCCTGCGGGCGGGACGGC